CTTGAATGCAGCGCAGATGTTGTCCGCGGTGGCTCTCGCAGAGTGTCCTTGGAGGAACTCGTAGTAGACGATGTGGCGAAGAGTTGCTTGTTCGATCGGAGCCATGGCTGCCAACTGATGGCAGAAGCCGCCTTATATACCCCGAGGACAGAAGCTTCGAGAACATTCCATCATATACAAATGCAAAGCCCCACCCATCATTCCTTTGAAAATTTTCAGAAATAGTTTTAGAAAGTGTACAAGATTTTCTTTCCAACCCAAGATTTTTTAGGATTCGCCCAAAATGCCTTTAACGTCTTGGATCCGTTCTTTTCATCTCTTAAATTGCATTCCACCTAATTAAGCCCTCTTACCGCGGCAAGGGTGCCAGGGAGGGGCCGATATAAAGGGAATTAGTTGGAAATACTACCTCCCCTTCTCTGGCATAGTATGGTGTAGATGTGCATGGTGACAATCTTGCTACGGAAACTTACAACATATATGCAGCTTTCGGATTTTAGGAACCAGACGCGCCGTGCACTGAATTGTCTTTTCATATGAACGAGTATATGGGCTTAAACCTTTTCCTTTTCTTTCTCCTTCCCATGAAGTCACCTTGGAAATTGAAACATCCTCCATCTTTCTCTTTCGAGGCAAAGTTTTCTGCGGATTCTTTGGACTGTGGGTACCTCCGAAGACCGATTTCTTGCAGAATTCGAATTTCTTTCCCTCTGGTTTATGTGAGGAAAATTGCTACGGTGTGGAAGATAATGAGGGACTATTTCCAGCTGTATCAGACATTGACCTGCTATTGTGACTAACTTGACGTCATCTAGCGTCGAATGTGTGAATCTTTTCGCTCAAACCATTGTTACATAAATACCATAGATATGCTGGAGGAAGACATATATTTATCGTTCAACAAATATCCTCCAAATGCAGCATGTTTAGTGATTAAACGGCACCTTAACTGAGCGCTCAAAATTTGCTCATCCCTGTACATTGGACGTCCAATAATTTATTGAACACATATATTAATAATTCATCCTCGAGAACGTTTATGTGCTACTTCGGCACTGTCATATGTATGAAGCTTGCAGGTATCATTTGATCTGCAATTATCCTTGGCACTCGATGATGTGAATTTATGTAAAAAAAAAAAACAGAAAAATAATTTTGCAAAATCTCAGTACTGAAACGGCAATCCAACACTGTGTTCGCCAATGTCATTTGTCAACGCTCACCTATCACTCCACGTGAGACTTCAACATATCAATGGAGCATGGTCTCATTAAGCGAAAAGAGTCAATTTCTACATAGGGTTGTAATTTGAAAGCGGCATACAACGTGGATCGCACCTTCCGGCCCAGCGAGAGTGTGTCTCGCTGCAATCTACAACACATCTTCTCGGGGTGTGTTCTAGATTGACAGCTTGCGGAAGGACACTCCTTGTAAAGGCTTTGGCGATGTCTAGGTTCAATTTCGTCGTGTCAGTAATAGCCATGCCGGAGGAAGATTTCATTAAAGATTTACAACTGTTCATGTACTACTTTATCTTAATGGGAGGACTATCTAGAATTCAGCGGAAAATTATTCTATAAATTTTCATTCCAAAAAGTCCAAATGTGAAACATTGGCTCATGGCAGCAAAGATGAGATGGATTTCAAGGGGTTGCCTGTGTTAGTCCATACTTCATTAACATGATGATGCCGCTAAACGCATGCAGCACAAATTTTACGACTGCATTGCAAGCACGAAATAAAAAGGAATGAGGTAACATAAGACCACAATCTGAAGACTCCTCTCCTCGCGGTTCGTACTTGCATCGAGCAGGAGTCAATTAATCCATCTAATTCATTTGAATGCGGAAAATCAGTATCCCCATGAACCGCATCGAGGACGGGGACGAGCCAGTCACTCAGGCAGCTGTGCAGTGTTCCTGAAAATTCCGACTGGGGATTCCATCGAGGTCATCGTGCCCGTTCTTCTACTCTTCACGGGAGGACGAGAAGGTGTGCGCCATCGGATGCCAGCGGCCAAAAGCAGGATGGGGTTCATCTGGCTCGCTGAGTCGTGCTGGCAGTCTCGACCCATCACAGGATGCTGTGCAACCCATTACTACCTGTATATGTACAGGTAATTGATTAACAAGGCACGATCTGTACAGATGACGACGAGCAATACGAATATCATTAACTATCTTCATAAGGTAAAAACGCCTTTTTCCATGTTCCTGTCAAACAGGAACATGGAAAAAGGCGACGGTGCTTCCAGACGCTTATATATATTTCCCTAGGATTATCTGTTACTAGTTTAAAAGACCGTGCGTGCATGGGCTGAAATAAGTTGAATTAGAGCATTTTGTGCTCTAATTCAACTTAGTATGCTCTTTCTTCGTCAGTTTCACTGTTCCGGGTATGAAGGTAAATTTTCACTCTTCAGCTTTCCCCGAAATTTCTAAGCAGGGGAACGGGAAATGTTCCAAGTGCAGACAATTTTTCCTGAATACTGCCTCAAAACGCTGGTAGGGGATCATCTCGTCCATGCAACATCTCTCAATAGTTTTTTTTTATTTTGCCTGAATTACATATATTTTGTAAGAATACAATATTTGATAAATCAATGCACTGTGAATGCAATAAATTTGTGAGAATATAATTAATACATAGCTTCTCCATGGATGCAATACATTGATGAGTACAAATTATTACATATTCAAACATGTGTAATAATAAAATAATAAAACTATAACGCATTCAAAAGAATGTTTCAAGTTTCCAAGATACAATATCTTCCGATAAATTAACAAGATTAATAGGTTGATACGAACGCAAAAACCTCTGCTTCCTTCCATTCGCAACTAAGACCTTCTTTCTCTTCTCATTCGGCATCTCCTATGTTCCTTACATGTGTGCCAAAACCCCCAATATCGCACCAACGAAAGCGATTTGCTGGACCTGAGCATTTCTCTCCAAGCTGTAGCGCTATCCATGTGATGGAGCAATAATACTTCGAAAAACACTCTCAATCTCCGCGGCATTAGAGTGAGAACATTCCCCCTGGAAGTCATTACTTCCTTTCTCCACCAGTCACCAAAGGGGATGTGCATTCCGCAACACAATGCCGATCATGTCATCCATGTTGTTTCTGGGAAATTGGATCAGTGGACATCGACACATTCGACATTGGGTATCGTCCTATCCTGATCGTGGTGAATGCTTGTACTCTGTTCTTCCTGATAGCTTCTCTCCCATTTCTTGTGATCGGAAATCCGAAATGAATTTGGATTGACTCGTCATCCAGAGTTGTTTCGATTGCCATACCTCTCTATCTTAGGATTGGAGGAGGTCGGAACCTCGCTCTCGAGCGCGATTAACGACAGCCGATATCCGACTGATGCATTTGGCAGGTGATGAAACATGCTGAAATTGAAAAGTTGAGAAGGCATGAGGGTGGGGTTGTCAACTTTTCCAGTTTTGACCTGGAGGCTCCGTTCTCCCTCAATGGTGATTTGGAAACTGGAAAACTGCAAAAGTTGGCCACCCTAACAGAGAAACACAGGAGGAACCGATAATCATCGAAGTTCGTTTTTAGTTCCATCACAAATATCTTCATATCACTTAACACGAGGAACGTCGGATTCTTTACTGCCACTCATACTGCAGCCATCACTTTAAACTTTTCCTTTTCCTTGGCATCCTGGAAAATTTCAATCATGGCTTGATTGTAGGAGTCAATTGGAGCGTCGATGAGGAAGATTTCTATCCTTGTCCATTCCTGTTTGGCATTCCTCCATGTTTCTTTAAGAGATGGAGAAAGGAAATATGTAAGCACACAGAATGAGCATGCAGGAATTGCTAGTCGTAGTATGAGTCACACATCCCAGAAGCTTTAACTATTTCCAGACTGCAAGATGTTGAAGATAAATAGATCATTACTCTGTACAGGAAATGACGAGTATTGTGTTTGTAACACGTCTTATTCACGAAGTCCATTGGACCCACCATACATGTATACCATCTAGGAACGCAAAGCATGAAATACTTGGTAGAACATGCAGAAACCTGACTTAACTTAAACTTAAACTAATAACTTAACGAAGCTCGTATAGGTGGTAGGTTTCGACTCGAAAGTCAACAGGGACAAAAAGAAACCCTGACGTTCTGGACCAAACCTTTCATTTAGAATAATCAACAAACCCTATGTATCCATGACGGTGTGAAGCCGATTCCTTGGTTGGTTGATCGAACCCGTCGATCAGCTTCCCGTCCACGACCACCGGACCTGTTTGAAATACACATAACCAAAATCACATATCACAATACCTGTGTGTTCGCCAATTTTCTCCTCGACAGTGATCAAAGACGTAGTGCCCATGACTCTCAGTCAAGCCCAGGTTTTTCAGAAAAGTTATAGACAGAGCTACCGGACATTTGTGATTTAGGTAAACCCTCAGAAGCGTTAATGCGATATCCTTTTTTTCAAGCGAGCTCCAAAGCACAATCGATGCCCAGAAGTCTTGCACTAATTCCATTATTAATTTGGTCATTCAAATTCGACGACATTTTACTGAGAAGGCATGAAAATACAGAATTGACCAATATAAGTGAGCCCCAAGAACGTTTGCCATAAACTATATATATTTGTAGCCAATTGACTTGTAGATTTAACGGATCACTGCCTACTGTGCTATTCAAGAGCTCTTGAAATTCCATTTGCCTGTAACTACTAATGATTGAGTCATGGGAGATTTTGGGAAAATGGTAGAAATTGAAATGAACAGGCAGGTGATTTGCGAAAGCTAATTCACATTTGATTTTTGCTCCAGTTCCCAGGGATGTATCATCGTCAAAACGAAGCAGGACGTTGTTATTAGTGTGTTTTCCCCAATCTAAAAATGTAATGGATGTGCATAACTATTCAGGTATGCATTCTCACGCATGCGTTATGGACATTTTCAGTGCACACCCCTGTGCGTACCAAAGAACTTGAAAAAATCCCACCTTTCTTTGTCTTACTGTATGATTTCATAGGATAAGCCAGTGACAAAACTTGCTCCTGCTGTGACTTCTATGTTGCCTGTTGAGAATTTGCAATATTGATAATTGTTCTGACTTGTCGCTTGGTGTAAGGTTTTAAAATTATTTGGCATGTTCAGATGTCCTCAACAAAAAATTTCATCGCATTTGCAGGGGAATCCTGAGATTTCATGCATATGAATTACATTATCAGATGATCATCAGCACATATGACAACACTTGGAAAACGTCTAGCTCCCATGCGGATTTGGAACAAGGTGTATGTCCAAGACGATATCCACCCGGGGAAAATGCACCCGAGAGGGAAATTCACCTGTCTCGAAATATTGGGTTGTAACATATATTCCCGCCGTTTTTATATTTTGTTTGTTTTCACTCCATATTTTTGAAGTTTGGCAAAGTGGATATAGTCATTCGAAAGAGCGTTCTTATTAGAGCATTTTGTGCTCTAATTCAACTTAGTATGCTCTTTCTTCGTCAGTTTCACTGTTCCGGGTATGAAGGTAAATTTTCACTCTTCAGCTTTCCCCGAAATTTCTAAGCAGGGGAACGGGAAAAGTTCCAAGTGCAGACAATTTTTCCTGAATACTGCTTCAAAACGCTGGTAGGGGATCATCTCGTCCATGCAACATCTCTCAATAGTAATATTTTGTATTTTGCCTGAATTACATATATTTTGTAAGAATACAATATTTGATAAAGCAATGCACTGTGAATGCAATAAATTTGTGAGAATATAATTAATACATAGAATCTCCATGGATGCAATACATTGACATGAGTACAAATTATTACATATTCAAACATGTGTAATAATAAAATAATAAAACTATAACGCATTCAAAAGAATGTTTCAAGTTTCCAAGATACAATATCATCCGATAAATTAACCTTATATTTCTCTCCAAGCCGTAGCGCTATCCATGTGATAGAGCAATAATGCTTCGAAAAACACTCTCAATCTCTGCGGCATTAGAGTGAGAAGATTCACCCAGGAAGTAATTACTTCCTTTCTCCACCAGTCACCAAAGGGGATGTGCATTCCGCAACACAATGCCGATCATGTCACACATGTTGTTTCTGGGAAATTGGATCAGTGGACATCGACACATTTGACAGTGGGTATCGTCCTATCCTTATCGAGGTAAATGTTTGTACTCTGTTCTTCCTGATAGCTTCTCTCCCATTTCTTGTGATCGGAATTCCGAAATGAATTTGGATTGACTCGTCATCCAGAGTTGTTTCGATTGCCATACCTCTCTATCTTAGGATTGGTGGAGGTCGGAACCTCGCTCTCGAGCGCGATTAACGACAGCCGATATCCGACTGATGCATTTGGCAGGTGATGAAACATGCTGAAATTGAAAAGTTGAGAAGGCTAGAGGGTGGGGTTGTCAACTTTTCCAGTTTTGACCTGGAGGCTCCGTTCTCCCTCAATGGTGATTTGGAAACTGGAAAACTGCAAAAGTTGGCCACCCTAACAGAGAAACACAGGAGGAACCGATAATCATCGAAGTTCGTTTTTAGTTCCATCACAAATATCTTCATATCACTTAACACGAGGAACGTCGGATTCTTTACTGCCACTCATACTGCAGCCATCACTTTAAACTTTTCCTTTTCCTTGGCATCCTGGAAAATTTCAATCATGGCTTGATTGTAGGAGTCAATTGGAGCGTCGATGAGGAAGATTTCTATCCTTGTCCATTCCTGTTTGGCATTCCTCCATGTTTCTTTAAGAGATGGAGAAAGGAAATATGTAAGCACACAGAATGAGCATGCAGGAATTGCTAGTCGTAGTATGAGTCACACATCCCAGAAGCTTTAACTATTTCCAGACTGCAAGATGTTGAAGATAAATAGATCATTACTCTGTACAGGAAATGACGAGTATTGTGTTTGTAACACGTCTTATTCACGAAGTCCATTGGACCCACCATACATGTATACCATCTAGGAACGCAAAGCATGAAATACTTGGTAGAACATGCAGAAACCTGACTTAACTTAAACTTAAACTAATAACTTAACGAAGCTCGTATAGGTGGTAGGTTTCGACTCGAAAGTCAACAGGGACAAAAAGAAACCCTGACGTTCTGGACCAAACCTTTCATTTAGAATAATCAACAAACCCTATGTATCCATGACNTTTCCGAAGTGCTTTTTGGCCCAGGGCATTACAGTATCCTCCAGGATAAGGTCACGATAGGCAATCGCGTCGATCTTCATGCCAGACGGCACAAAAACCAGGGGCGTGCGCCCCTCTGCAGTGATACCCGCCCACACCATCACAGAAGCTGGCATCTGTGTTCGAGAGACACGTCGGAGGTCTTGAGAGATACCTGACGACTCTGCTGCCCATACTCGATCATTTTGAGAGTTAAACGATTGCTCGATCGTGAAGAGCTTCTCGTCAGAAAAGAGGATATTGCGATGGCAGCCATCTGCGAACCGACGGAGAAGGGCCTGCGATCGTTGCAGCCTAGTTTTCTTCGCTTGCTCCGTGAGATGTTGAGCGTTTTGGAGTTTGAAAGGCCGAAGATTCAGCTTGCTCTTGACAATTCGCCGGAGCGATTCGCGATTTATCTTAGTCGTTTGGGCCATTTTTCTCAGCGATTGCTTGGGATTTCGACGAAGCCGAGATCTAACCCTTTTGATGTTGGCAGTGGTTGACACAGACTTCGGTCGACCTGATCGATGACGATCTTCTGTAGAGTTTGTCTCAAGGAACCGCTGAATCATACGTTTGATGAAGTTCCGGTTCTGGAGCAGTCGGAAAATCTCGGTGGGAGACTTCCCAGCTTCGTGCAAACTGATCACAGCCGACCGACGATCTTCATTGGACAATGGCATGACGAAACTGATAGTTTCATCAGCACTTTGAGAATCCCCTAGGTCGCGCGTACCTTAAGCTACGTGTAGAAACCAAGCCAAGCATATATGAACGTGGTAGCTTAGAATCGAGAACAGTTTTTTAAAGTGTACAGAACCTTTGTGTCACCCTGTAGTTTCGTGGATATTTAAAAGGAATTTATGTTTCTTTTATCTATTTCAAAGTTATTGTATCGGCTTCAGAATTCTGCCCAATCGTATCATAGAGCTCTTGCGCCAAAGTACGACTCTTCACATCTTCGATTCATCAACCATGTACTTCAATTGCTCGTATTTGCTTTTGTCTACGATGTGGGCTTGGCACCTCTTTTAACCCCACGACAGTTTACGAAGTGGAAGAACTTTCCCCGCCAAGCCTCGTTAAGGAGGGAAATTGCAAAAAAGGTTAAGGCATGTGAGGGAAATTAAAGCAATGCAGGCAGAACAAGACGACGGCATGGTCCAGGAGACATCCTGTGAGGGAAGGTCGAGGACAGGAGGTTTGATTATCTATACAAAACCTCTGCTCGAACGGCGATGTTATATATCCCCTGTGAGACATACGGAAATCATCCCATTGTGTACACGGCGCCCACAATATCTTGCCCCCCTCCCTGCGGAAATTTCTACAAGTTCTGTTTTCTTTCTTTTTCCAGGTTAGCGGAGCATAACCATGAGCTATGCAAGCAATTACACAATCAAACATCGTATTGCTGCTTGTGTCTGGGGTGTCTGAACGTCCACAAACAGGGAAGACCATGCAATAAGTTCTTCACGATTTCCAGCAACGATTGCACCAAGAAGTTTCTCCAAATAATGGGATGCAAATTGATCCACCGGATTGTGAAATATGTGTAATGGGTATATGTAAATACATAAGACATGTGCGACACATGAATGAATAACGATTCAATTAGGAAGCCAATCGATTAACGGAAGCTTGCGAGAGGTTAAGGGAGCGGTTAAAGGAACGCCTTTCCTCTTGAGGTCAATCGCGCTTCCGTTGCGCACGCCCTCACTTCGCTTTGGAAAATAACTCTTACGAAGGTTCTGAAGGGCAAACATCAGTGAAGTTTTCGTGAAAGAATATAAACATGTTGCGTTTGACGCTCTGATGTTTTCCTACCAATCCCTGGTAGTGGGTTCCATTTGTGACCGTGTAAATTTCGGAACTTTTGGTGTCACCCGGTATTGTCAATTGCATCAACGCGCATTTGTAACTCTTTTCTGTTCACAGCACTTTGAAGCATACTTGCTTACTTCATCGAGTTGACTCTTCACGCTGAGTAAGTTGCCTTGAAGTTGTGCCAGTTCCTTCTGAGACTGGTCATAAAGCTTTGTCTTGACTTCTAGTTCCTCGGCCATGACGTTCTTTTCACGGACGAGCTGCAAGAAAACAAGTGCGTCTGCATATATGAGCTTCGCATAAGTAAATTGCAAGCATCACTATGGTAAAGATGATATTGGAACTATCATTAAAATTGTGTATGACGTCATGATAAAATTTTAATGAGCATGAATGAACAATAATTAAAAATAACTGCCACGATCTCTTTTCCAGCGATATTTCGATCAAACTTCATGCAACAGCAGCGAAACATCGACTGCATTGTAAATATATTTAATTCCGAAAGTGCCGCATGCTGGAAAACTCAAATCCACTGCATTGGATTTTGAATTTTCCTTCCTTCCCTGCCACTGTCCATTACACTGGATTGCTTGGAAATTACACGCGGTGCGGCGGACACACCTCTGGTCTCCTCCTGCTACCTGCTCTCCGCGCTATTGACCTAAATGTTTAAAGTAGACAATAAAAAAATGACATAAAGGTCGTGTCCATGAAAATCCTAATTTTTTAAATCAACACTTGCGTTGCGCGCCTAGACAATACTCAGCACTTTAAGGGTTAAACTAATAGAATAATGAATACCAGATGAATACCGGTAGAAAGCCAGTAGAATACCAGTAGAATACATTTTCATGCCGAGAAGCTATAATGAATTTAGGTAACTCATTGAAAGCATTTCTGGGAAGAATGGCGAATGTCAACTTTTGGCCCACTTCATATATAGCTGACTGGCAGAAGCTGTCTACTGAGCAAAACATGGGGTCAATGAACATTTCCATGACCTAATTTGAAGGTAATTTGAATATATACAGGGCGATCACAAGAAACTTTGGATACAACTTAGAATAAGCCTAACTTCCGAATGGGGTAATACAATTTGAAGAAGATTTCAGCATATTGTTAAGCAACTCAAAAAATTTATTACAGCATATTTTTTGTGCTCCAGGTGACTGCAAGTGATTGAACAACACCAAAACCCGAAAATGACATCACAGCACAATGCGTAGCATGGTCCATTGAAACGAAATCGGACATTCAGGTGCAACGTAATTTTTTCCTTTAAAGTTTTATTTAAACATGTAAATAATAAATTTTCTACTTCTTTTATAATAAAAATTATATACTTTTCCATATACTTCCGCGTTGTAGTCATGTTGAATCAAGGGATTAATGAAAAATGTACTGGCTTGTCTGGCATCTAGTTAGTGGTTAATATAGCCAAGCAATTGGCCCTTGATTGTCGTCATCACGTTCTCACCTTAGTCAACATCAGCAAGAAGAATGTGGCTTTCTCATTATAACTCAGGGATATAAGCAAGCTATTGTATGCATCGCGCCGAGTTACAAGGTCCATTTTTCTTTGCTTAAATATCAGGAGAATCCATCTCTTCAGTGCAAATTTTCACCTGATCAGCAGTTGCGACCATGAAACTTCTTCATTCCAAGTTTTTAAACGCCATCCCCCATGCTTCCCACCCTCCTTCCAAAGGATTTTTACTTCCTCGTTTTGCTCATTTCTTTCGCATTTCACACGATTATAGAGCAGTTGGCCCGAGAAACGCTTTAATCTAAATTACGACCATGCAACGTTACCACAATGTCATTTGGCTCAAGCCACGTTCAATATACGTTGCATTGACATCGCGTGTTGCTTGTGTGTGATTCGCAGCAAGGCAATTTTTATGCATTTCACTGACGTCAGCGACTGCTTTCAAGTATGACGAAACCTTAGACAGCCAGGTTTTGAAACCAGCAACTACAGATCTGCGGAAATAGCCAAGAGCTATAGGGAAACTCGATTCAGTTGCTCTCTTCTTGACTTACGTCTTGAAGGAACTTTTTCTCATCTTCACGGCTGGACAAGAGGCTCTTGATATCCAGACGCATTTCTTTTATTTCCTCCTGAAATGAGAAATAACTTGTTTTGAGCTTATATTCTGATCCGCTGTCATTCACACAGCATAAAGGTCACATATTCTTAAAGTGTCATATGCAAGGTGAAGGCGGAACCTGGAGCATGGATCAAGGTCATTTACTCATCATCCTCTTCTCCTAATTATGCACGATTATGATTTCCACGATGGACCAAGGATACAGGTGACTGCACGATGTCTTTTACTTCATCTTTTCCTGCTGTCCCTTCCTCCCTAAAGCATCAAATAAGCAATATTCCGAGGAGGTGCACGAGTAATTTCTATACTGAATGATTTGTTGTCTGATCAACCTCTTTGGCGAGAATTTTCTGACAAAGACAAATGAACTCCTTTGTTGTGAAGTGCTTGTTTTCGCTGCATTGAGCTTGCAAGATTTCACTGACATTTTTCAAAAATCCGATATTGTTGATGAAGTTGGTGCGTCTGACATGAACGTGTTGGTGGTAAGCTCATAACATATTGCGCTTTTCCCTTCTTGATACTCCTTCATAGTCGCTGGGGATGATTTGATCATCTCTAGCAGTGGTAGCTCGTCAGCGAAGACAGAGTTGACTTGAATTACTGTTGAATTACCCTTTTAACATTGGCAAGCCACAATTGCTACTGATCTAAAGCCGCCAATAACATGTCCTTTCATGTTCTTGAGAAAAATAAGGCAGTTGATTACTATATTTCACGACTTTGTTGAGTGAATAACAATGAAATGGCCTATTGATATGTTACACAATATCGAGTAGGTAATCACGCGGTTTTTTATATCCTAAATATGATTCCTCTTCTCCATTTTTTCTCCGAGGTAACCTTTCCCCTCGAAATTTCCGTAATTTCCTAAAGTAAAGTTTACTTAAAATCTTTCTTCCAGGAATGGGCTTTCAATCAGGAGAGCAAACAATTGTCTAGTACTTCCAATTCCCAGGTTGGGGAGAAGATGAGCAATGAGAACTTGACAAGAGCGAGTGAGCAGTCTGTTTCTGGATTCAATGGCTTTGCCCGAACAACCAACACGACCATCAATTCCGTGGGTGTTGGGAGAATTTTATTTTCTTCAATAAAAGTGCATACCAGGAATATTCAAGGAGTCAAATTTCGTCAAAAGTTAATCATATTGCTTACGACTGAAACGCCCGTTTATTAGATAGAATCTATCAAGGAGGACTGTCAAAATAAAAAATGTTCTGATATAATGATGCGTATAAGTTTTTGTTTTCAAATGTGTCTGTGAAACTTCTGGTTATTTAGGTAGGTCCGTAATAAGCTACGGTCCCGTTTTAGTATCAACATTGAACCGCGTAAGGTCACTTCAAAATTTTGCGACGCTTCTAGATTCCTGGGCAGCCAAAGGCAGGCGTAGTATTTCGTTGGAGTGAAAAAAGGAAGAGTTTTCCTTGTTTTTGATTCTGACTTTGCCATTTGACTGATGAAAAGATATTGTCATGAATTCATGAATGAATATAGAGGTCCTGGCTAGGCATATACCGCACTATTTTGCAAGGGTGCCATGCCGTTGCGGGGAGAAGGTTGGGAGCCGCTGCCGGGGAATATGCGAAATTATCGGCGTGTTATCTCATGAACCCAATGGGTGTTGAGGGGATTTAACCAAAAAGTATTTTTCATTCAGGTTTTCCAGAACTGATACCTGTACCTGAATAACTACTTGCCTTTCGAGGTCCAACTTTCTACATGTTTACCGTTTTAGGGGAGAAAATTGCATTTAGCAGTCACATCCAGAAAAATATTCCCTGGGGGGGATACACCTCAAAAATGAGATTTTTCCTCGACTCAACAGGCAATTGTGAAATTTCACCTTTCTACTTTCCATGAGACTTGCTGGAGAAAAAAAAAAGTTTCCGACTGAAGAAATATGTCCCTAGGGACATTTGAATATTTGAAAAGTAGCGCTTTCTAAGATCAGCACATCAATGGACACTTCCGTGCCAATAAGGCAATTGAGGTCCCAGTGACCATGGTGTTCTGTGTGGAACAGCGAGAGTTCTGTACTCGCTACAGACTTCACTCATGGCCGACCACTTTGACAGGGTAAGCGGTGTAACTCGGATGCTCACCACGCATCAAATTGGTGCATGGAAAGTGACGCATGCATCCAAATTACTCTCCATGCATGAAACACCTTAATATGAAATAGCCTTCAGAGATCCCATCTTGGCACTGCCTCGCGCTTGAACTTTCAACAACGGCCCCAAGGGGAAGCGGCGTGAGAAAATAAAGATAGATATCTCCCCAATTCTCCCCTTTCTCCAAAATTCTTCCGGCATTTTGCAGATTTTTCCCGAATTTCTTCATCTCACGATCTCGAAACCTTTTTCGATTTTTCTGCACATCTTTGGGAGCTTTTCTGCCACGTTTTGTCAGTAAAAGCCATCAAGGTAACGGTCTCGGGCGATTAGTGTGACCATGTGGCCGTTATTGAAACTAATTGGTATGTTCTCTCCATAAATATTCATCCCGCACACTTGAAATTATAATCAATCTTCATGTATGCTACTATGAACTTCTGTGCCAAATTTCATCAAGATAGCTCAACACCTTCTTGGCCATGCTTTTTTTTCGCAATGAGTATATTTCACGGAAAATCATTTTTCGAATCCCACTAAACCCACTCCTATAAATATCTCATGAAATAAAATAGAGTACATATTCCCTCTAGCTTCCAAAGAAATGAAACGCATTCCAAATTTTCCAACATATTTCAAGATAGCAAGGAAAAACATTTCCTTTATTTTAGAAAATCGGTTCCAAATTGGGAGCTTCATGAAACAATTACACAACATTATGATCTTCGGATTTCATAAAGGAATGAATCTCTCACACTAAAGAAAGCCTCATTGTCGGCCTCTCTTTGAGTAGCATGCAGCAAATGGAACATCCAATGGATTCGCACATTTGGAGAAGAAAAAAAAATTACAAGCAAAAGACAAGGACGGAGTTTCCCCACGAACTTCAGCGACGAAAGTAGCTTTTCGGCCCACCTAAGTGCAATTTCTATTGTTATCTATCTCCATTAATGTTCATATATTTTCTTCGAAGATCGAATAACTTCTGAGAGACATCGTACGGCGCAGCATGATTCACGTCCTTGCAAATTACGAACAAACTACTTTGAATGGCACGGACCGGTGAAATTTTAAAATATAATATAATAAATATTAAAAAATAGCGGGTATTCAACTCACGAGCAGTTGCGACCCATTGTTGGCCCCCATGGACACCTGCAAATGTTCCGTTATCTTCTCCAGTCTCTCATTGGATTCGTCCAAACTCTTCTGCTGTCTTTCCAGCGCGTCCAATATGGTCTCCCATTGCAGACGCACCTCTGCACAAGGAAATCCAGGGATAATCTCCAGGAAGAAGTGACGGATAACACGACTGCAACATTCGATTGATACATTACTTCAATTTCATGGCAATTTCTTGCAAAAATATTGCTCACTGAGGAAGTTGAAAGTCAGGCTGATGAGACCAGACTGTTACGTTTTGGCAATTCCTCGGGGTCATGTGGTGTTATGGTCCACCTTTTTCCACGAGTTCACGGTCTCGGCAGCATCATGTCCCTTGTTCGAGAGAAGATTCGACAGAATCTTCTCTCACACTTCCTACACTTTTATGTATACAAACCACAAGGTACTATGCCGAGTCTGTGCCAAGTCTGTGCCGTTGGGTGCAATGGCGTGGGGTTGGATCTTGAATATTGCCCTCGACATGGCTTCTTAGCTCCGTTACATGCTGGGAAAACGTCGACATTTTCGTACTCCAATGCGATTGTAAATTGTGAATCGTTTCTATCATTTCGGGCTTCGGATTGGTAAAAAACGGTACTCGTAAAAAAAATAAAATAAAAATAAAATAAAATAAAAATAATAAAATAAAATAAAAATAATAAAATAAAATTAAAATAATGAAATAAAATAAAAACTCGACAGGTAATAGAAAAAGGAGCAAACTGCAGAGAAAATGTTCAACCTTCTTCGAAATAGTCCATGAGTTCCTCCGGGGTGGACTGAAGGAGGTCCTGGGCGATGTCGCCGTGCCCGAGGCCGTCGAGGCAGCAGCAGATGATCGGGAGGTCCCTCCCGTCCTTCGTCTTCAGGACGTTCCAGAGGTTCAGGGCGTTCTGGGTCTTCGATGCCGTGGATCTCTCCTTGAGAGTCCTGGCATCTTTGTTGTCGAGGGTCCTTCTCTCTATCAGCATGTTCTTGAGTTTTTCGGCATTCGGTATCTTCGAGAACTTATCCCGGACTCGCTCCAGGCGATTGCACAAGTCTGCAAACATCAGTATGAATACCCCGGATTAAATTGGCACCACCCGTATGAATCCTTCTAGGAATTGAGAATATCCTCTTCTCACGTAATTTTCTCAAGATTTTGCCATTCGCAAATCCGCACATACGTATGCACATTCATACATACGTAACGGGGAGATTAAAGGTAGGTAAAGAGTAGGTCCACTTTTTCCCAGTGGTTTGGCCACATAAGCCGGTCACCTGCAATACACACACCACGTACGTGCGCCTATGCCGTGACAATCAACTTGAAAGTGATGGGTTTCGGGCCGGCATGCATTTACTGTGTGATTTACTCTGAGTATTTAATGCTGAATAAAATTTAAAAAATCCGCAGGGTCGAATAATGTGCAAGGGGGGCTTTACATGCTTAGCTGACGCGTAGCTTCAGCAAGCTCAATGTTAAGAACTGGACCACACCCGCGTCCCGCGGGATCCGCTTCGCAACATTTCAACAGACTCAGGTCAAAATTGCAATTAGCAGTCAGAGAAAATAAGCTATTAAAGAGATCACGTTAGAATTTCAAAGTGCCACACTTTGGATGAATAATCGGGGATGCCTCACGTCATCAGGGAACCATCAATTGGATGCATGCAAATTCTCAGATACACCCTCCTTGTAGCTATTCAAGTGAGGCACATAGTTGGAGTTTCTAACGTCCAGGTATTGGATAAAGGGGATGATTTTGAGCTCGGCACGGGATGCGGATGAACTCTATTGGATCGATCTGAAACGCGGATTTAGCGGGCAGCTCGGTTTGCAATCAAGTTTCTTGTTTGGTGCAGGCGAATACACTATCAAAGAGTCATTTTCTCCATAAGCTTCTAGCGGCTGGCGGAACGTAGTGACCTGTGGTGGAGTAGACGACCCGCGAAATGTTGTAAGAAATATATCACATGAAAAACTCTATGAATATGTTACAGGGATATATGTTTTAGCCGAAAGAGTTGAGGTATGAGTCCATAATATTAATGCGTTGATATAATGGTTACGTTCTACCTGGACATTCTGGAGCAGGGATGTTCCACGCCCAGGTCATTGCGTCTGCTTGCTGTGCTCCTACATTCCCGTGCATGCGCACTGTACTCGAGTCAAGTTTGCTTAGGACATTTTGGCTTAGTTTTCGTTGTTCTGGTGAGGCCCTTCATCGCGCTGGCACGGTTAGTAGACCTCAATTTTTTTTCCTCCATATCGGTCAAAGGCCAAAGAGTGAGAAAGTCAACCTGCTTTGGGAAATGATGAGTCGGCTGGGTTAGGAAAATCTCGCAGCCTTTGGCCACGATCATTTCCTAATCCAACTGTTCCATCATCCCCCAAATTAGGCTGACTTTCTCGCTCGTTCGGCCAAACACAGAAGGAATGCGGCTCGCTTGATGTGCCTCCTTCCTGTTTTTTTTGAGGTTAGTTAGTGTATACAGCAAAATCGCAAAATCACTGCGTGAAAAAGTTTTCAGTGTTGAATTTTTCTTTAGGTCATATGTCATGTGGACCGAAGGTAGGGAAGGCTGCCGGGATTGGACGAAAAAATGTAGGGGACGACCGGAACTTGAACCTGAGCCTGCCGTTTCTCGGTCCGGTGCGCTACCATTACACCACCGAAACCAGAACTTACAATTTATTTCCCTATCACCGCATATAAGGGTCTCTGTTCCAACGAAATCGGGCAGTCTCGCCCTTCGCTCCACGTGACTACACATTAAAATTACTACTTCTTTTCTCATCTTTCGCAGCTAAAATTTGCACCAATGCAATCTACTCATCAAGGGCTTGCGATTGATACATTACCGGCACCATTCGACGGGTCGGAAGTGTTTCCCTCATGGATAATTGTTAATTAGCAGTAAGAGAAATGCAATTAACAATCTTATGTAAAGGGCATCCTTGAGATCGAAAAGACTGCCTAGACCAAACGATTATCCACGGGAGAAGTCTCAAAACTGTACCTGAGATCCACACCAAGGCACTGAAAGTTTTTCAAAATGATTGCTACTTTCATTCCCAATTGCTTCCGCATAATTATTGTCTTCCGTCATCAGGATTTTGCAGGAAACTTGCTCGCGGACGAACTTCAAACACTGCGGACGATCTCGAAATTCTCGACGCGTTATTTCGTTGACGGTTTTGCTTTCGTGGGAAACGCGGAAAATGACATTACATTGCCGAAACTGCTACCACTTTTCACACATATTTCCAACGACATTCTTCACTCGCCAAATGCCGAAAATGAATTGCAAACCATCTGAAAGCAAGTTGCGAAAGGTTTAAATAGCTACATTTTGCACGTTTCCCTTTCACGCTGTTCAATCTCTCTCTCGACCGATTCCTGCCGCTTTTCTGTGGAAAACCAGAGCGGAACCTGATTTTCACCCGTTTTGAATTTCGACCACTACTCCTGAACGCAATCAAAAATTTGAAACTTGGTACTGAGGTACCTATTGGGATGCTGAATTCAGAAAAGTCATATTATGGTGGTAAATGCCCTGGAGGCGCATAGTTTGGGGAGAGATGTTTTCAAAATAAATTTCTTGGCTTCAGTCAGATACAGAGTCTTTGGCTAAAACTTGGCATGTGAGTACCGACGAAGGTACTGAGTTCAGAAAAAAAAGTCGCATTTCAGGTACATCGCCTGGGAGTATATTTTTGGTAGTTGACTTTTTCAATTTTTTATTTTTTTGATTTTTTTTTGTCCTGGCGAACACATAACTGACGTGATGTTGCGGTCAGGAAAATTCAAATTTTGCGGTACATTCTCTCAGAACACAGCACCGATTTCCCTGAAAATATTATATTTTAGGTAAAGCCCCTCAGGGAAAATATTTTGTGAGAAGCGTATTTTCCAGAATCTTTTTCGATCCAACGAAACAGAGAGCGAAAGAAAATTAAAAAATGGAAAGTTGAAATTCAAACGGAATCGGCTGGAGAAAGATGAATGAGAAGTTTAATACGTTTAAAGGACACATGGAAGTCGTAGCGAAAAAAAAATGTGAGTGAAATGTGAGTGCGCCGATCTCGGACCAGAACCAAAATGGTTCTGGCCAAAAAAAAAAAATGCTTGCGAGAATTCCCTCGCGAGGGATGAAGGAAATGCGGACCCAACGATTCGATTCACACTCCGCGCGAAATGGGAGACTCGGAGAAGTGACGCAGCAGATGAATGAAATCATCCTGCATTCACAAGGCTAATTCTGTTCAAAAAAAAAAAAGAACAGGGAAGGGAGGCCTTTCATTTTCCGATAACCGAGGTTAACGAGCCATTTTGAAACAAATATATCAACCTCCTGGGCGGTGTTTGGTACTGTTTCATTGGTACTGACAGTGTGGAAACATCAGTTCTTTCGACTAAATACGGATTATTTTTACCCTTTTGGCTTTTTTTTTACATTTGACCTCGAATGGTAGCTCACCGAGGTCATATGCTAGGCTTCACATGAATTTCCATATCTCATAAATAATCGCTGAAATTTTCATTGAGAACTGATGATAACTTCTCCGTCCAAGGTGTGGTTGAAAATACCTATCGTTTCGACCTTTTTGACCTCGTATCTCACGAACGGGGTCGAGTTCGACTTGGCATCCACCCAGGCGCTAATGCCCATGTATTCGACCCAGCCTGCTCGTCTCGAACGCGAATGGCCACTGATCGTGCTCTTGGCATGAATACATATGTGGAATTATTACATCCGTTATGAATTATTATTATATCCAGATCCATGCTCATGCGAGAGAGAAATAAGCAGTATGGAGCATTAATAGACTGAAACTTATGGGCCTCACCGGTCTTTCCCTCCAGTTCTTCGGCTAGATCTTTTGAGTGGTGCTGCAGGAATAGGAGTACCTGCAGGTACCACTTCACGTACCTGCCGGGCTTCTGGGCCAAAGCATTAAGGAGCTCTTCCAATTTCTCACGATCGGAGGACGGCGCGGTTATCCTCGAGTTTTCCTCGACGCTGAAAATTCGCTTCAGGATTTCGTGGATTTCTCGGAATGGAAGCCTTCGGAGGAGTCGGCCTCGGCTTTTGATGAACCTGAAATCAATAACCTGTGGCTTTTGATGAACCTGAAATCAATGAACCTGTAAACGTATACCTTTCGTTCTAGTGATTGTTTATATTGTTGCTTTTGTAAACAAAACATGCGAATGACATTTTGAGAAACTGTTGGAAACGTACGCATCTACACTTGGCAAAAGTTTTGTGAAAATAAATCATTCGTGCGAGCGGGGACATTTTTGGGATTCATTAGTTGGTAAGTTGGTATAAATCGTTGATAAGTTTTATTTATTTATTAATACCCTGGATATATTCTGGAGCTGGCGAGTGCGGTTGCCCTTTGGGATGAAAGGTTCTTTTCGTGGGTAACACCAACCAGCAAATTATCTTCCTTTTTTGCCTAATTTGTTCGGGAACACCGGATAAAATGTCCCCTGAAGAATAAAAATTCTCCGGGGAAATGAAAAGAAAAAAACTCAAGTACCGCAGTCTCGTCAGATTTCAAACTCCGTAAAATTTCGCGCGATAAATGATCGACGATGACTCGAAACGTGAAGCCGGTTACCGTGTCGATGTAAATATCCGGTCTCCGGCAAAATCCGGCTTTCAGGCGGAGGGAGACGCAACTTCTCTCAGAGAGTATTTTTCTTCCGGAAGACAAAAAAATTCCCTTCAGTGCAACAGGTTGACAAACGGAAAGCCGAATTTCACGGAAAGGCAGTTCTAAAATGGATGATTTCTAAGGGGAGTTCCCACCTTTGAGTTACTCTCGAGGAAACTTTTATTAGCTGCAGCGAATCGGGTTGACAGAAAACTATCGTGATGGGAAAAAAAGTTATCCTTTTCATCAAATATATCGCCTAGGGAAAGCTTTTAATTCTTTTTTTTTGTGGGGGGGGGGGGGAAGGGCCCCTTGCAGATGTTCCTAAGCTGCATGAAAAGGATAAATACAGGGTGGTTCTTCAATTATGCCACACTCTCAGATACTAATTGTAAAAAATTCAATGGATTAACATATGATCATGAAACCTGGCATAATTACAGCGATATGAGTTTTTTTCTTCTTTTTTTTTTAGAGGCACACGACATGCTCGAAGTAAATTACTCTTTGCGAAATTACATGACAAATCCAGCGTAATTTCTCATCACGGCCTCCAGCATTCTGATCGGAAATGAAGGGGGTTCACTTTTAATTCCCTACTTTTTGAGATGTTCCCGCGGGAAGAAGTCGCTCAGGCGGGACCCCAATTCCGCGCAAAAGGTGCAAAGAAATGTGTTGCTTGTTGATGAGGTCTTGCTGAAACCAAACTCGTAACTGATGAAGCAAATTATCCACTGAAATTAAAGTGCTCAGATTAGCAACGTAATTTCACAAAGGGGAGCACACCTTGAGCATGTCGTTCGCCTGTAAAAAAAATATATATATACATATATATACTAGCGAATTTGGCTTAGCTAGCGAGTGGTCGCGCCTTTGGCGCTCTATTACCTTGGATATTGATTAATTCATTTATTCTTTGCGAAATGGAAAGCACGTATGTAAAGTACGTCCCCATTGAAATACGTAACAGATGGGGACGAAAGTCTTGATTTTTATCAAAACCATTACTTCTACGAGTATGATTTCTAGAGTGGCTAACTTGAAATCTTTTCATGTGTCCCTTTTTGTAAGGGTGGAGAATACATTNAATTGCCACTGCCATCCTCAAGTGGAAAGGGAGATTGAAGGCAGTTATTCGGCAGAAAGGTCATATTGAGCCAAAAAGCGTGATTTTCAACTTTTTTCAGCAGAAAGTTTTTTTCAAATCAATTTATCTCCCGTGTTTTTCGGCGGAACTCAATTGCAACTGATATCATTGGAAAGCGAATTAAATGAACTTTCATTTCATTTTTGTTAAATTATTCTAGCTCAATTTGGGACCGAGATATAAGGTTTCAAAGTAGAGGACCGGTTTTTTTTGACCCACCCTGTATATTAGATATTTAGGTAAAAAGGTTGGCTTAATTAGCGAATACCTAAATGGGCAGTGAAAACCGCTCTTATTTGAGGCGTGCACATAGATTGAATTCAAGTAAAACAGTGACGCCTTCCCTAGCAATAGCCACCCAAGGCAGCAGGCAGGCTATGACCGGCTCTTAGCCCAGAAGAAGAGGACATATAACAAATAATCTATGGCAAAACAGCTTGCAGATATGGGGCAAGGCTTAAGGAAGTTAAAAAGAGAATGGACAACGAAGGATCTCATCCTAGAAATTTGTCAAGCAGCCTGCGTCATCAGGGGGTTGAGGCCGCAAGTCTGACAAAACAAACCCTACCCAGAAAGGGAAGAAGAAACCCTACCCAAAACAAACCCTACCCTACAATCCCGGTGATGGTAGTTTACCGATGCATGGGCTTATTTCCCATATCTTGCTTTAATTTCTCCTAGGGCTTATCCAGTTAGTCGGGGTTGGGTCAGGTGCTATGGGCCTGATGTCTCAAGGCCAAGGCCTAAAGGTAGCAGAGGCAATCTGGGCATCGTTCCAATCTGTCAGTATAGGACACAGTTAACTGAATGCATGGTAGGGCATTTCCCTGGGCTACGCTTTTTCTTCCATTGCTTGTTTTCGCAGCTAGCCTTCCCCCCATTTTTCTTTTCCCTCTTTGGCTTGAGCCATTCCGAGTGATATTTCACACTCAGCTTCCTAACATGTCCCTCGAGGTCTCTTAAGACGACGCCAGTTGTGCCGATGATGATCGGAACTATGGTGGTCTTCATATCGCACAACCGTTCTACTTCCACTCTCAGTTCGGAGTATTTCTCCAGCTTCTCCTTGGTCTTCTCTTGGAGGTTATTATCGGCTGAGATGCTCATACCTACGAGAAGGGCGGTCTTCTCCTCCTTATAGATCGTTAGGTCCGGCCTATCCACAATATGCCAAGTTTCATTGAGTTTTTTAAAATTAATATTTGAATTTGTGGCATGATTATAGAATCACCATCTGAATACAAAGCTGCAATTCAATAAAGGGGTTGTTCCAAGAATGTGGTTTCCTCGAGGGGGTGCTATGAGGTTTCAAGTTCAGCATTTTTTCCCGCTCGGAAAAAATGTTGCCGTGAGGCTCACTGTCGGTTGCCTCAGGTATCGTTACCGGTATCGTTACCGGAGCCAAAGCGACGATGAACTTACATTCTCGCTGCCTCGAGTTGCTCCTGCGCATTCAATTCGTCTGCATGGAAATGGGAAACACCGACATTAAAACCCGATAAGCAAAGATTATGTTATAGGTCATGATACGTTTCAGGTACCATGATAAAGTTTGCAGCGAAAAAAAAGAACTTCTCTGCTTAAATTCTTGTGGTGCTCATTCCAATGAATTAACCCTCGTCCGGTTTGTATCCGGAGGGGAATTTTTTCATGGGCGCACATCGCCCTGCGATAAATTGTGTGGCATTCGTCGCTTCTGTATTTCTCTTAAATATTTTTTTTCCTGCGCTAATCAATACCTAGTTTAATCCTAGTTTTAAAAAAAATCCCGTCAGTGCAGACCTTCCCGGGGCCGCCTAATTCGAGACGATCGAGCTGCTGAGGGAACATCAATCTCGTAATGTACATTTCGTAATGTAAAAAAAATCCAGAGCTTTCATTTGTTTTCCTTTATTACCTTCTGCCCGGTCCCTCTTCTCTGACGGGTAATTTCGGGTAATTCAATCGATTCATTTACATCGTCGCAAGGCGCGTGTGTTGCGAGCCCGTTTGCCTAAAGCAACTCAAGCTCGCTGGCGAAATGAAATAATTCAGCTCCGCGTTCGTCTTGGTTAACGCTTCGGTCCCTGTCCATATTTTGGGAACGTTGCGAGAGCAGAGCACGCAGATGCGGATGGAGCTCTTTCCAAGCCTGATTGCGTTCCCTCCAATTGTGCCGATCAGGCTAACGGGGTAAGTAGGGAATGAAATGAGGGGGTCTTCTAGTTTAGCCGAAGAGTATCTTATGACGCAAGCGAAACCTGAAAATAGTGTCTTACATTTTCTGCTTCTTCCAGAAAGTTATTTCAAGCGCGGTATATTTAGATATAGGGTCTCCATAGAGCAACTATTTACCCTGAAGCTTCTTGGCAAGTTCGTTGTGGTCTCTTTGGCGGAGAATCTCGATAAAAGTCGGAAATGCTCGGTCTCCCCACGAAGGTAAGTGTTCCTGAAGAAACAGCAATTTCTCTCTCTTCTTCTTGTCCTTGCTGACCAGCTCGTGGTAGTCCTGGTGGGAAATGATCCCCTCCTTGTTCAGGTCCTGCAGCACTTCATCGATGGCAATGAAGGCCAGCTCTGCCGCGTGTCGAGCGATGATCCGAGCGATTTTTCTCATGGTTTCTCTCTGGAAGGGATGGAAGAAAGTGATATCGCGGCATGGAATCGACTCATGCACGATATATAAATACAAATAGCGAATATCATGTACTGCACTTGTACCATGGTGCATCTGCTTCCTCACCCTACTGTCGCTGTCGAGAAGAGTGGTTTCTTTTCTTTCTTGATTCGCTCGAGGAGCTCACATCCGTGACTTTATTGTTGGAGATCTTTTCGAGGGTTTCACCATCATATGTTGGTCAATCACCACTTGTAGATCAATTATGGCTCTTCTCTCTCCTATCAAAAAAGAATGTCAGACGAAACATTGCAGGAAAAAAAGGGATCGAAGGCACGTAATCGATTGGAATATCTCCAGTGAGCCAAATTGCAAAATAAGATTTCACGCTTACACCTGTCCCACTCATCGCCGAGACTGCAGCGCAGATGACAACCACTGGATGTCAAACGGATTCCAAGAAATTAGGATTCAACATCCTCAGGGAATCAATGACCCGTCATGCGTTCACAACCACAACCACAACCACAACCACGGACATACTTGAAAAGCGTCCTTCTCCATGCTAATCACGGGGATGAATGTTGCTCGAAATGACTCATTTGAACTTGCAAAAAACGTTCTGTGCCTAAATATTGAGCTTGGTCAATCTTTCCTTCAACCTGAGGAACCGACAGCTAGGTTTTTTAGATGTTGCAAAGAACGGCAGACACTTGGGAAGTAGAAGAAAATTAGCCGTTCGTCTGTCATAACGTCGCAGAGCCAAGGTCAACTTCAGTTTAACCGTCCAAAAAACGGGACACGTCGCGGTTGTAATCGCGACGTTATTGCTGCCTCTTACATGTTGGAAGATAATTTGAACGATATACATTATGGCATTGTGTTCTCCAATTTTGCAAGCTTTCATTTAGTAACTTGATACGTTCAGGTTGCAAAACACAGGCATGAGATGTACGAGGCACGTATCGAACCGTTGTATGCGTCCCTTTCGCTTCCCCCGGTTTCCCTCTGCCAGTCTCGATCGGGGGGCGAAACCGCATCCGATAAACCGAAAGAGGGCGGGGGAGGCATAACCTGCTTGAACTGCTCCTATCGCACCACTGTTCGATTGGCGTTCGTGGAAACAAGATGGCTCAATAGGGAGAGTCTTAGAAGCCTATAGGCCCCATATAGCCATATCGCCCAACACACTGCGATTTCCTGCGATTTCTACTTCTGGAAGATTCGTAAGAAAACAAATGGAGCAACACCATACCATAACCGATTTCTTTAGGAATAGTTCGATCGGTTTCTCCAGCACCCGAAGACAAAATTTCGAATTTTAGTCTCATCGGATCGCTAAAACGAATTCTTTTGGGGGGAGGAAAATTTTCAAAGATAATAGCGTAAAGAAGGATACTATAGCCTTGATTTAGATGGGATTCACAGCATTTTAAGTGGCTAATTTATTATATATACTTATGTGTCTTTTATATATTTAATATTCAAGGAAAAGAATAAAACTTATTCTTACGACTAATTGGAATCCCGAAAAGGATGACACCGTCGGTAAACTGTCGCACAAATTTGACAGTCCGCCGTTCTCGTCGACCCCCCTGCATCCAGAAGCAGGACTTGGGACGATGGTAGACACAGGTCGGTCGCGAGGAAGTCGGACTCGTTCGAGGAAGGGTCGTCGTCACACACGAGAACGAGAGGAAATCCTGCAAACGACGTCATCGTCAATTCCTCGTCATCGCGCCGCGGATGCCCTCCTATCCGATGGCCCGGATGCGAGCAATCGCCTTGGGTATCGCCCTCTGTTTCCTATAGGAAACCCATGAGTTTCCCATAGAATCCTATAGGATACCGAAAAGAATCCTATAGGATCTAATAGGCATCTTATTGGATCCTAAAGGTGTCATATAGGAATCTTTGGGATCTTATAGGATTTTATATGAAACCCATGGGATCCTAAAGGCTTCCTATGGGTTTCCTATATGATTCCTATAGGATTCCTGTACCTGTATATTCCACATCCCTGTATATATTCTAATACTTTAATTCAAAGAGGTCAAAAGTTGCGGTGGCGGTGGTGGTCGTGGCTGTCACCCCTAACGCACAGGCCTACGATGCAATCCCATTCTCGATCATAGGCCAGGCCATCCACGGCCTAAAGCGCCAGGCCTACAAGGCTACGCCTTTCCAGGCCATCTTATACCATAATTCGAAGAGCCCGAGAGTTGTGGTGGTGGTGGTTGTCACCCCAGCGCGCGAGGCCTGCAACACTATGTCACTTCAGGCCATGGGCTAGGCCATCCACCCCTCAAAGCTCCAGGTCCTTGAGACTATGCTATTCTAGGCCATTAACCTGGCCATCCAACATTTTTAACGCCAGGTCCATCGGGCTATATCAGTTTGAGCCATAGGCTTCATACATAGCAGTGTCAATCAAAGGGTGGTAACTGAATGCGTGTCACGTTTTTACTGATCGACTGGAAGTTCTTCATTTGAATACTTTCCTTGCTGAGGTGTTTTTTTTGTATTTTTTTCAGGTCAGATGTGGTGGTTCGCGCCATCGCTTCCATGCAATAGTTTTCTGTTTGCGTTTCATGTC